GCCAGCCCTCTGTCCTTGTTGTCCTCTGTCTATTCAGCCATTTGTTTTGGAGGCTTTGAAAAGTGCCAAAGACTATTTGGCAGGCCGCTAACAACAAGAGCGGCTTGGAGTGGAGCAGCATGCAAATCACTGGGCTAAATATAAGCCAACCTACTTCCTCATCCCTCCCCTGCATCTCTCAGAATAAAACCAGCTGCCTTCTATTTCTGCCTCTACGCTCCATGACAAGACTTATCAAAGAACCCGTACGTCACGTCTAATCTGGTATTTAATCATTTCAGCACCAAGCATTTTTTTTCTTTCTATGACTAAAGACTGGAAATCAAAGCTGGGCTAGCTGCCACAGCTGAATAGTGTTGCAAATATTTAAGCTGTGTAGCTCACATTGGGAAGATGCTGAGCTGTCTCAAACTGTTATGTAAGAATTTCCACAGAGCATCCCTGACACGGATGCATATTAAAGCACATATCATGAATCGATCCTACTCCTCACATCAAATGCGCAGTTTAATAATGACAAAATGTAACAAATTCAAAAATATGCACCTGTGTTCTGCCAGACGGAAGGCAATAACTGCAGGTGATGCAATCGGTTACATAGCACATTATGTAATGGACCACAAGCAGCAACATTATAGATGGGATGGGAAGAAAAGGATCAAAGCCAGAGAGAGGATACACAGACATGGGCAGAGGTAGTGCCAAAAGACTGCTATAAACACACCATTGATATAACCTGCTGTTAGTCACACCTGTCACATGACCAGCCACCTTCACAACATCAGTCCTCCACGTCTTGGATGCGTGGATCAATCTGTAGATTGATTACCCCTCACAGGTTACACAGTGAAGCTGCTGCAAGACAATACCACGAGGTGTTGTAACCAGCTGGGGTACATTATATAAAGACAGTCAATGCACCAAAATCTGTGGTTAAAGAGTCATTTTACAGCTATTTTTTAACTTATCATTTCCTTGTTTTTATCAAAAATGGCACAAAATGCTTATTATTATACAACATGGTAAATAAAAGGTACATTCAGGTTATTTCACTGCTCATGACGGATTTAGCTCTTCTTAATCAGTTACTTTGCTACTAGTCTTCATGATTCATCTCTCTGACTCTTCCAGCTGCTGTGATAAGCACATAGCTGGCATTAGCACCTGCAACCCTCCGGTCCTGATCCAGAAACAGCACAGAGGAACCACAATGAAACCCAGCCCCACTTCCTCCACCCATAGCTACTCCATTGGCTCTATTTTTGAAGCCACACTGACTCAGATGCCACACAGCACCCACTCTATCCAGCAGCCCCTGTCTGCTGTAGCTTTAATGCTGCTGTCCTTTCATAACTTCAGCCTGGGTGTCTTCGCTGGTGAGAATGCCAAACCACAAGGTCACATTCACATGGTTTCACTGGGAATTAAACTAGAAGGAAAATATCAATTGAAGATGGTTCCACTAGTGATTTATTTAAAGGATAACACATCTATTTTGTCATGTTTCACCATTTTAAAAAAAATCAAAAATTATATAAACTTTTGATTAGTTGCTGTTACAACACACTAAGTACAAATGTCATCCTCAAAACAATGCTTATATTTGTGAGCTTAAGTCTTAGAATTTCCTACCAACTTTCCAGGAAATCCTCTTTTCCATTACTTTCTATTATTTTCTTTCTAGCATTAAATACAAGTTGAGATCTAGATGTATGCACTTCACAGCAAACAGCTCTCCTACTGTGCAAGTGTAGTTTATAAGCTCTTTTCTTGTTTTGGTGCTGGCAGTACATGTTATTTCACAGTTGCAATTGCATTTATTTCAGTGTTTTATTATGACATATAATCGCCATAACAACTACACAACTATTTCACTGAAAAGCCGATTGAATTCAATTACACAACTAAAAAACTTTCCACTACTACATTCCCAATAACACCACTCCAGTAAGTAGTCCAGCAACTACATGTCACTGCATGAAACAGCACTTTAGCAGGCTCTTACCATCAGTACACTCTTCATAGTACCAGTCCAATTCATAGTAGTCTGCCTTGACAAACCTCTGGCCTCTGGTGTGGCCTCGCCTCATCATCCTCACTGCTCTGACAGACAGCTGTACACTTTCCAATGTCCCAGCATACTTAACTGTAGCATCCCTGGCAAATCCAAAGTCCCAGCATGGTCAGAGAGGAGCACCTGTCACTGGGCTCTGATCAGTTACTGATAATGTCCGTTGGTCACACGGTCAGCGCCCAGTCCTGCTCTCCCAGCACGCTTAGCCATTAACAGTGGGCACACGGTCATCGTTGATTAGAGTCTGCTTATTCTCATCATATGTCGCTTCTGTTCCAATTACCAGCAGCCTGTCAGAGTGTTATGCTCCATTTGTTGTGCTGCTGGTGCCATTTCTGCATGTCATCCCACAGAACCGTTACTTGCGTCATCAGTTGTCAGCAGGCAAAAAACATTTTCACTTTATTGTGGTTTTATCCACTGGGACTTCATTCCCGTTTCAGTCATTTTGCCGTCATGTCAATCTGTCTTCTGTATTTTCTGCCCACCAGTTTTCCTCAGTCACTCCAAAGGTTCAGCATATGTATCCGATTGTATCGTCTCATATCCATTAACAGCTTCAAGTCAATTTATCTTCTCCTCCTGTGAGCCTTTCCTGTCGTCAGTGCTGTCTTCTTGAGGTCCCATATCATAACCTTTTATCTTCCCTTGTGTAACATTCCTTGCTCATTTACACCACTCGCACTGCACATGGACCACCGCATCCCTCACAATGACTCAATAAACACAGAGATACAGAGAGTGAGGGAGCAGGCAGCAGCAGCAGTCACGGGTTTTGCAGCAGAAATGATGATAATGATGACACAGGAGGATGGGCGGGTTTAGAGGGTGCCCACGGCCAATCAGAGCGAGCTTACTCCCGCCCACCATTCACATGTCAGCAGTTCCCCCTCCTCTCCTCTACTTTGTCCTTCTGTGTGGTTGCTATAGTAACAGGCTCAGACTCCAAGGCCTACGGCTGAGCAGCATGTAGAAGCAGTTAGCAGGAAAGCGGTAGCGTTGGCAGAGGTGACGTGGCAAACCCAAAATGAATGAACCCTGTGAGTGTTCAAGGATTAGTGATGGAGCGCATGCATGTGAGACAGAAAGTTGAACTGCTCGTCAGCAAGATTCAAAATATGATCAATTCAACAACAATATGAGCAAAGTTCAATGTCAGCCACCTTGAAAGTGCAAACACAGACCGAACATTATTAAAAGATTAAGCTCAGCACATCCTAAAGCTCACAGTATGATGCTAACAGGCTTACTGCAGACAAACTGATGCTTGCTGAATCAGAACCGTACTGCTAAAAAAGTGACTTGCACAGTTTAATTCTAACGAGCCAGAGGGGTCACATAACTGCTCCAGTTGTACTTGTTCAATGCAGTGAGGTTGCATCAGCCCCCATTTTGCAAAATGCAGTCACAGCTCACCATGTGTTTGTACATGACAACAGATGTATTAGTACAACATTTGTGATGATTACACAATTACTTTTTAGCGATGCAGGTACACCTAACATGAAATAATATCAACAAAAACAACTGAATTGATATAATTCAGCATTCATTTTCTGCGATTAGGAAACAAAGCTCATACGACATCAAAAACAAACAGCACTATTCACTGATCTACGTAAAATCCCTCTTTATTCATATCTACAACACATTGACTGTTAAATATATGACAATACTTAAAACCAGCTCGGCTGTCGATACATATAGGAAAAATCAGACTTCCTAACACCTTTGTTCACTCAGTCATGTAGGTGTGCTGTTATTCCAACATGGAGCTGCCTCAGACATGATCTTCTCATACAGCAGGTAAAATCATCTACCACTTGAACAATGCATGATTGTGTGATTGCACAATCCACTGTATAAGTAAAAACACTGTCACGTATAAGGCACTTTAGGACAGTTGGCACAATCACTTTATCAGGGAGCATCCCACTGAAGACAAGACAAGCTTTATGACCATTATGAAACCAATGTGACCTATCACCGCTCATATATCACGCCCCCTGAGGGTATCGGTACCCGGCCATCTGTTTGAGGAAGTAATGAGGAGCCATATGCCTCCAGCTTGGATGAAGAAGATTTTAAAAAATAAAAATAAAAAAATCTATGTGGGAAATACAGTTGGTAATAAAGCACAAAAGCAATGTTGATCCTTCAAACCACTCTTTGCAGAATGTCTCATAATATTTCTTATGTAACATGACCTTGTCGTTGCCTCTTAGCCTGGCTGTGTGTGACAAATGTCGAGGTCAAAGTGACCATGTCAGCATGGGGCATCGAGGTGAAGCTTCATTTCTCACTTGCACCTATTTATAATACGCTTGCTCTATTTTAGGAAACACTTTTTGCCCTGAGTCACTATTCAAGTAGACATGAATTACAACTGAATAATTGATGGTGAAAAAACCCACTTTACGCTCCCTCGGTTTGCTGTGTGCAGTGTTTGCACGTGTTTTAGTGAGTCTGTGTGAGCGTTTGATTGCAATTGTGTGCGAGTAGGTGTGTGTGTGTTTTACAGCTGGCATAGATGGTAACCACAGTTTGATAAGACGAGAGCAGACACGTGCAGAAAAACACAACGTGAGAGCTGAGTGCAAAGCAAAACACAACATTAACCCAGGCAGAGTGAGACAGAGAGACTGACCATTGAGTGTGTTTGTTTTGGCAACCGTGGCCAGCTGTCCTGCACACACTGTGACAGACAGATGGCCATCTCTCTCTCTCTCTCTCTCTCTCACTCTGATTTCTACTTGGTCAAGGTCAGCATAAATCTTAAGTCTCTCATTGTCACTCCCCTCAAACAGTTTCCTCAAACTAAAACTACAATTCCCTGTGCATTCTGTAGTGTCTGACTTTCGCTTGCTTTTATTAAAACGCCAATTTCAGGAAAAGGTTATTAGAAGACAGCATGTAATCAACTCACAGAAGTATTTGAGGGTCTCCTCTATCTGTTCAGTGGTGAGGTCGAGGGCCGAGTTGGGGTCCACGAGCGGCGTGTGCAGCCAGTCATCCTGATCATAGCCGAAGATGGTGTCGGCCCTCAGCTTGTAGACCGGCAGTTGTTCCTCCAATAAGCTGATAATCTCAAGCTCCGGCAGGTCAGTACTGTTACACACATCTGCACAAGGACAAAGACAGAAACAATGCAGTGACTGCTCTTTTCTTTCACAACATTTTCTTCAAAGTCATTATAGATTGCATATAGGCAGTGGACACAGTAGAACAAACTGTCAGTTCTGGGGATTATGCTCCAAAAGAAAGAACATGTTTCATTTAACAGGTGTTCCAACAGGGCAGGTTGACCTGAAGGTGTATGAGGCCCTCTAGTGGCTGATTGAGAAACTGGCTAGGCTCTGCCTGTAGCAACTGAAGGTTTAATTTTTGTTAGTTTATATCCTCAGTACATCAAATCTGTTGCTGCTGTGCAATGAAACTCAATGCAACAAATGTAAACAGAATCCTGCGTGTGGTGCTGCAACTTTAGCTGCGACACAAATGCATTTCTTACCCATATTACACAGACCTATAATCACTCAAAAGATAGTAATACAACAATAGTGCACAGCGTTTAACACCTATTTTTATTTCCAACTTATGTGTGACATCTCCAGTATCTGTACAGCCAGCTGATCTGACACGTAGTCACAATCAAGGACACAAAAAATAAGCTGGGGCAATTCACCAGCCTTCCCCTCTAAACACAAGAACTGTTTAAAGGAAACAGGTACTATTAGGTAACTAATCAAGGTCAAGATTGTGCCTAATCACATAAGTGCAACCACAGAGAAAAGGTACTATTTACAGTAAAGAAAAGAAAAAAATAGCAAGTTTGCAACAAACAGCTTCTGCTACTTAAACTTTATTTCTATTGGAGCTAAAAAAAAAAAAGAATTACCTGCAATAATTTTTCCATCTGTGACCTGACAGCCAAACCGGTCCACAACCCTTTTCTGTATTTTCTTAACAAAGTCAATAGCAATCTTCTCCTCGAAACCAAACAGAGAGCCATAACCTGACCTAAGCTTTCAGCTATGTGTCTCTCTGTTCACACACCACTTTAGTGTGCTATTAAAAGGCCTCTATTACAGCAAAAGGCCTCTCTGTTGACACACAGAATTCAGGTTTTAGTCGCTTTTTCTACAGAAATACGGAACACAGAAGCTCTTGGATGGACATAGAATGAGAATTAACACACAGTAAAAAATAATGTCCTTTGTTTCTCTGTTGTGTCGCCCCGCTGTCAGTCTGTCTGTGTCTCTCAAACAATGCTGTCTCTTACAGTTTGCTAATCCAGACTGAATGACTGACTGTGCTGGAAAAGGGACACACACACACACCCGCACACACACACCCGCACACACACACACACACACAGCAGCTGGGGAATCATTCAGCGAACACAGCCAGTGGAGTTTCAGCACAGAAGTAAGTACTGAAATCCTACCAAACCCATTAGCAAAGGGACATTTACCATAAAATAGATTTTAATTTCTGCCACTTATTCCACAGTGCAGCAGCACACCAGCAGCTTTATTATATTTGATCTTCTCTCTTCAGTTCTGTGACACTGCATGCACTAAAGGCTGCAACCCTATATGCCCATAATTAACACCTGAGCAGGCCTGATTATGAGAAGGATGTTGCTTGTAAATATCACCATATTTACCCCTCTGTACAATGAGGCCAGTGCACTTCAGCTCCCAAAATGAGTACTGATAGGACGTGTTTGGGGATAATAATAGCACAAAACCTTTCTGTGCCATGTGCTGACAAAAGGTCAGTGGAGACAGCAGACGCTGTGCATGTGTGTGTTGTATTTTCAATTTTAGCATTTTCCTATCACTCTCTCTGGGTCGCACTAGTTGGATATAGGTTTCACAGTAGTAAAATGTAAATTCTGTCACTAAATAAGCTGTGAAGTGTTCCCAAATGTCACCAGAACTGTCCAAAGTTCAATGTAAACAGACTCTCTGTGATAACTGAGAGCATGTGACTTGACTATTAAGATGCACCATTAATTTTTATCACATGACAATTTTAAAAGCATCTTGCAGGAACTTATTTTCTCACTCTTCCTACAAAATCGGAGTATTAAAGGAGTGCCGATTAAACTTTTTAATCATTGTGATCAATGACCAGGAGATGTTCAGATCCACTATTCAAATGTAAATATAGACTGGAGGCACAAAGAACACAACCTACAGGGACATGCCAACTTTAATAGCACCTATTAACGACAAGAGCAGGAGAGTTCAAGTTCAAATGTAAGAATAGTCACAGTTGGTCTGAGCAATACACACTCTTACACATGTGTGGGACAAAAAGACATGGACATACAAAGTTTTGTCAAACTGAGGCAAAAAAAACAATTCGAAAGCATTCAAAATCACTAAGTATACAGTGTCTCAGTCCCGTTTTGTCAACTGAAGCACACAAGCACCGACACTGTACATACAGTGCTGTGTAACTAATCACTACACTGAGACCCTAAATTAGGGCGCTGAGGAGAGAAGGTATACAAGCATGTGAGCTGGACTGAGACCAGAAACACGTGGTCTTGGTGTCAGATTGTTGAACCACCTGGGTATGACTTTCCAAATGTTGCTAAACAGTATGAACCCAAGAGTGAAGCTCAATACGGCTGCCTCTTGTTAAACCAACACAGTGCAGTAACTGTGGCCAACAAGCCAAGTAGACATATCTGTAATACACTTATTCAAACTTTTTAACTTTTATAAACCTGAAAATACAATCAGTTTAACTGTTAGAACACAGAGCACCTTTAATGTTAGGTTGGACACTTTAATGTTTCTCAGACATCTCAAGAATTCAACAGACAACAGCTGAAAATACAAACATATAACTTGTGAAGACAGTTTCTTAAGGCTCTGTTCACTGCACAAGTCTATAAAAGGAAGAAACCAGTTGACTGTTTCCATGACAGACAGAAAGAGACAAACAAACAAAAGGGGAGATAAAGTGAGTGAAACTCTACCCAGATGTTAGACAGCTGCTCATAAAGCTGGCTAGAGATAAGCTGAAACTGGCCGAAAAACCGTTCAGTGCACAGTATACTCACTCATGGTGCCTGAAGCCCGACAACTACCAACCCTTTTGCCCTCCAATCACATTTTCCACTGGTCCAGGAGAGGGCAAGGTCGCAAGAAGTAACGTCGACGGGATAGAGAGAGGGGGAGAGAGAGAAATAGGGGGAAAGAGCGTTGGGAGGGTGTGAGACAGGAAGAACAAGAGCGAGAAAAGTTTTAGAGGACGGCACAGGGTGGAAGAGACGAGGAGAGAAAGAGGGAGGGAGGAGTGAAGAGGAGAAGAGGGCCAAACTGGTCCGTCATGCCTGACATGCCAATGACGATAGCTGCATGGACCGCCCCACGCTCTCTCTCCCCTCTTTGCCTCACACTCTCTTCCTCACTCTGACAGCCAGTGAACCCAGCTGGACTCTTCCTACGAGCTGAAAACCTACACTTACTCACACCAACACATGCTCTCTCTTGTCCTGTCCTGATCCTTTATATATAAACACACTGTGGCTAACAGCAGGCCTGGAGCTGCTCACAACAAAGCTCCAACTCCTTTATTAAGGCCTAATATCAAGAGGCAGACCTTGCACAATAAATACATTGAAGATGCAGCTTTAATCTTTAAGGTAATGGAATCAAAGAAGAAGCCAACGAATGAATAGTTTTGTTGCTGTTTTATGTTAGAGAGCAAACTGCCAGAGCAACAGGTCAGCGGAAAAGATTTCTCCTGCTTACAGTAATCATAGCTGCTGTACAACACGAGCAAAGCTGCAGCGGAAAAACTGCCAAAACCCTGCTCGGTGCGTTTTCCACCTAATCCCACAGATCCCAGCTTTTGGCACAGAATCGCACACTAACAGCTACAGTAATCAGTTCAGAATTACAATTACCACATTTCCTGTTAATTTGCATGGGTAGGATGTTTCACAAGTAGTTCAGGCATAAAAAAAATAAATGTAACCATGAGGAACAACTCTGAATGAAAACTTGTGCTTGGATTTATGTGGCACCACTGATGCCCTGATGATGTCCGGTTACACCAACCCTAAGAAGTATTCTGACTCTGGTGAGGAATCAGAGCTCTGTCTATTTCTAGTAAAGCGCAGGTGCACACTACTTTCTAGACAGTGAATACACTCTTAATGACAAAAGTCTGTGAACTTATGTAGAGCACCTAACTGGGGTGAACTATGTTCTACTTACACTTTTCCTGTTAAAGCTGTGTTGTTGCTCTCATAGAGCTACAGCACAGACCACAGTCCAGATTTAGACTGTGGTTCAAGCAACCGGTGGACATGCGAAATACAGGAGAGTACGTCAATGTGGTCAAATATCGGTGGCAGCCCGCAAGAGCTGCATGTGGGAGGTTGTGCAAATGTTGGTGAACTTGCAAATCTCTGTGTCCAGTACGAGTGTTTGCAGGTTGCCACCAAGGTGTCAGCTAAAAAAAAAACACTACAAGCCCGAGCAGGAAAATGTAAAATGCAGTGGCAAAAGTCTAGATGAATTGCAGATGTACATTTGACCCGTAAGAAATCCTACAACAGCACATCTTTAAACAGAATTCAGCTTTTCATAAACAAATGATCGGAGAGACTTTAGAGAAACATTTGCCTGCTTTGTTGTTAAAACAACATTTGCAAAACTTTGCTCTCTACTCCTTTATTTTGACCCAGTTCAACAAAATCTAGAATCTATTCTTTGAGTTATTACAGAACAAACCCTGCAACCTCCCTCACATGACTACGTGTCACTTCACTTGGCTGCTTAACACGTCTCCTGATGGTCAGTTGTTGGTTATGTCAACAAGGAGTCGGAGGAAGGGTTTTTGATAAAAGCTGACCATCTGACCATCTGACCATCTGACCTCACCAGAGAAACTGATCCAAAATAAGTTCCATGTATCATGAATTCATCTGTATGTGATTGTAAGCTGGTGGTTTTGATATGTTGGACTTGTTGGACTTTTTAAAAGATTGGTAAACACCAACATCATGTATGCTGAACATAATATGGTATGGGAGTTTAGCAGACCAGTAAAGAATCGTAAAGGCAAAGGTATAGATTTTTTAGGATGAAAAACATATTCCATCCATCCATCCATCCATCCATTCATCCACCCATCCATGTAAATATTCTTAATTTTGTGTTCTTAGTATCCTTGTGTTCATCTCTTTTTCCTATTTGTATTGTATATATTTTGTATATGCCTCTTAAATTTATAGTTGTGTTTGCTTCTTACTGTCACTTTGTTGCTGTGACATTGCAGATTCCCCCTTGTGGGACTAATAACTGATATTCTATTCTATTCTATTCTATTCTATTCTATTCTATTCTCTTAATCCTCACTAGGGTCGCGGGGGACTGAAGTCTATCCTGGCCGACTTTGGGCAAAGGCAGGGGACACCGTGGACAGGTCGCCAGTCTGTAACAGAGCTATATAATTTGACAACTAGCTGAGTAGTTGATGAAGTAATTTTCTAACCTTGTTTCAGTTTTAGTTCTCTGGGGAAAACAAGCATGATGTCTGTGATGATCAATGTCTGATGCTGAGGAAAAACTCCTACAAACTGCTGGAAGAAACTAATTAAACTTCAGCTCAGGTAATTTTTTTTGTCAAAACTTGAATTACTTACATTATTTGTGAGTCTTAATACTCTGACCTGTTCTGCCATCATCGCAGCAATTATGGACATTACAGTTTGTAATTGACGTGAAATCGTAGGGCAGCGTAAATGAGAAAAGAGTTTTGTGATTTTAGCTCACAAACTGTGTCTTCTGTGCTCTCTGTGATGTTTCTAGACCAATATTGGTGGTGAAATGTGGAAAAAGCCTTTCCTAAATCACTTTGCACAACTCGTCCCTTGTGCGGGCCTTTTGGGTAACGTGGCAGCCTGCAGTTCAGACGTGCCGATTTTAGAGAGCTACGGAAACGTTACTAAGTTCGACCTAGTGAGATCGCTGTCACAAGTTTTACAGAAGGGACCAGAGTCTTTATTCAGACATGGAAGCCGAAGCTTTCAGCTGCTGTCAGATTAACAGAAAGGACTGAACGTCTGAAAGGAGCTTTATGTAACATGTTATGATCAAATGCAAAAGGATGATAAATTATTTCATTCAGAAAAGCAATGCAGCTTGCTACAAGAATCTGCAGAATATTAAAGATTATCATACAGGTCAGTACAGACTGAAACGTTCTTGAAACAACTAAACTAATAGTAGTTCAGCTTGTTGTGTGAGGTATGCAGCCTGTCATGTACAGAATCACTGCAACCACGGCAAACACTAAATGTACTTGTTTAGCACACAGAGTCCCATTTCAGTCAAAATGTTACACTCAGTAACTACTCTCCCTTAAATAACGTTCAATACACTGACAGATCTGCCGTAACATCTCACCCTGATAATCTCTCTGCACATGCAAAACAGTTTAAAGCAGCCAGCAGTTTCAATCTTGTGTTCCTTGGCTCTGTCTCCATTTTGTGTGTGTGATAACAGTGAATCAGAACCGAGCTCTCCCCTCAACATCACAGCACAAAGGATGTATTCGCTTGCCGTGACTGGATCGGAGTCAGGGAGCACACTCAGCACTTTGGATTCGACTGCATTCGTCCCTTACGTAACTTTGCCGGTGTCTCACCCAACTCCTCTGTCTCCTTTCTGTCTGCCTGCTTGTTCCTGATCCCCCCCCTTCCTCACCGAGCATCCCATAATTTCACTGTTACTCAACTCTTTACATCACCGCTGGCTGGTAACCACGGAGAATTAACCTCACGCCCAGGAACTGCCCCGAATGCAGTGAGCTGCTCCATTCAGCTCATTGTGTTCATTCATCCTCTTGGCTTAGTGAAATTATACACACAAACACACTCCCACAGCGGCTCCCCCTCTGTCAATGAGAAAGTGTTTAAAAAGAGAGTTAGGAAGAGAGACAGACTGACACTGAGGGATGAGAGTGAAACAGGAGGAAATAAACTGACAGGAAAGGACCTGAAGTGTTAACAGTTTATAGAATGGAACATTAAATGACTTATAGTGATCTCATCATACCAGCAGGTGGCAGCACTGACCTGAACTCTTCAGCTCTTCTGCCCTTGAATGACTTGTGTTAAAGACACATGACTACAGTAAATATTACCACAGCAAGGCATTTCAGCATTGGATTTTGCAAGTTGCCGCCAGCATGTTGCCAAGAACAGGGTATGAGTTTGTCTGCTGGAGATGAGTATTGGGTCTTAAAAGTTCTTTGAATTGTTTTACTATCAAGTAAAAATCATGACAACGTCCTCGAATACCTACAATACAGATTAAAGCAAAACAGATTCAGCACCCGAGAAAGAGAAAAGTAGAGCAGTAAAATGCAGCACTGGTCCTCTCCTGAGTGTTTGCTTTGTGACAACACACACACAAAAAAACCTCATTCATTAGCTGTGACATTTCTCTGACTGAAACTAAACTGGAACTAACACGCCTCAAATAAGCTTTGCAGGACTGCTGTAACTGACTGTACTATACTGCACTATACTGTGTTCCTTTAACGTTTCTTCAAAACCTTTCTATCCAAACATAGTTGAGCAGCATGCAATCGGAAGTCCATCCATTAATGCAGTAAACATACAAAAGGTAGTGCCTCCTCCCAGGAAGGGCAGGGAGTTTCCTGCATATAGGAATTTTTTTGCCACCTTCCAAAGAGGTATTAGCCAGTCAGTCAGTCATGAGAGCCAAAATGATAGGATTCGAGAATAGATTTAATTTTTTTGTAACAAGTTTTGTTAATTGGAGTTTCATTTATTTAAGCATAGCAAACATTAGTGTTTATCAAGCAGTTAGAAAAAAACAGGAAAATGGATGGATTCCTGTCAAGTTAGCTCACACGGACTCACTGACCAATCGTGCAGACTTTAATGCGTAGTCACCCCCCAAAGACCCATTAGCAGGAAGGAAAAACCCTAACAGAGACTTTACAAATTCACGTACAACATTCAGAAACATACCTTCCTGAATAAGCTCTAGTATTCGTGATCATTGAAACAATGGGCTATTAGACAGGCGTTTCCATAAGTCTTTATATTTACCTAACAGCAAGTATCCGTGACGTCCCTGCTAGATGGTCAATAGCAGCTCTGCAAGACTACCATATGTGCAAACCTTCACTTCAGTTGTACAAAGCAATTGAAGGTACTCTGGTTAACTGATGAACTGAGTC